ATTTCTAAGGGCGCCGACTTTTGGATCAGGAACTAGCTATCAGTCACGTGGCATGATACCTTCACCCTAACAACCTCTATATCGATAGACTCGTTTGTTTCCTAAATCAAGGTAGGGCAGGAAGATGGCCTCATTTCTTGGGTTTGGACGGTTCTCTTGATTCTTTCATGCGCGTCACTGAGCACCTCTGCTTTCACAGTACAGCGGTATCAGCTTATCGCGAGAGTAACCTTGGAGCATTTCATGTGCCTTTCTGACAGTAGAGATAGTAGTCACTTACACCGCCTATTATGTGCACGGCCCAGGGCTAAATTCCGGATCGAATGTCGTACAAGCCAACTAAGCCTTCCGTCCCTCGTCCACTAGGCTGGCACCAGATTCGCTTGGAAGTTCAAAAGCTGGTTTTCTCACGGCCAGTCGAGAATCACATAGCATTCCATTGCCCATGTGATTTTGATGGAAGTCGTATGCGTGGTGTAAGCCAGGAGGATTAGATCTCGCCGTATGTTCTTTGTTTTCAATGTACATTTCTAGAATGCCTCTACCGTCTGGCGAAAAGAAGTTGAACGACTTACCAGCGAATTTCTGCTTCACCACCGATGACCCATTCTATTCTGGTCCGGCCACATGCAATCTATTGCATTACACACCAGCTGCTTACATGGCTGGCATCGTAGAGATGGCAATGCTAGCGAGTGGATCGCTTTGGTTTTGGCGTAAGTTTCACTTTGTCTTGACTATTTATAGATCTGTACTCGGCGCTATCGTAAGATACGGGGTATCTTTTAGGCTTATGGTTGGTCCTAGGGGTTGCCCCGTATCTTGTCATACCGCCTGAAACTCCAAAAGAGACAAGCAAAACTCTCAATGACAGCACTTGAATTACGACAAAAGGCTACCTTCCCAAACTGTCGACCAAATATTTAGTCTATCTCTGTGAAGCACAGAATGTAGAAATAATTAAACAATCTAGCAAGAAATAAATTCAGATAGATGCTTGACTTAATATGACTGAAACTTGAGTAGAAGGGTTAAAAACGCTCAGCTTTTCGCTGCTGAAGCACTATTCTGGGGCTTAGCAGTTCGGAGAGAGATCGGCGAAGGCCGCTTCTTGACTCCCTCCCTCATGTGCGCCCTCTCGCTAGATATTGCATTGCTGACCAGGTACTGCATGAAGCCTATATACGAACCCTCAGTAAAAAAATCACTGGATCTCATCTAATAAGGAATAAGGGCATGTGGTGCAACAGCCGCTGTATACAGAAGTTCCGGCTTGCAGGGAGAGGAAATCCACAGTGTCTCAACCATTCCACTTCTGCTTCTACATCCAGCTCGAATCTTCCTTCGTCTGCGAAAAAATCGATTTGACTGTAGTTGATATGAAGTGTCGCACCACGCGCCTCCCTATGATGAGCCCCCAACTCGAGTTTTTTAATGCTAAGAGCTGACGACCACAGTGCACTGCCCAAGCCTGGTTGATTAGATAAAGGATCTGGAAGCGCAGAGGTGCTTCGCAAATGCGTACTATGGAATTATTTCAAGACTGTTTTAACAACAAAATCTGTTATACACGGCGAACTTGTCGTCCGGCATCTGGCTGCATACCGACTTTCAAACGAGGAAATGTTCCACGAAATGAGACGGAGGCCGGTGAAAAATACATCGTTAGTTGTTGAAGCCATCAGGATGGAATTGATGTGGTGATCCCACTAAAATATGAACATAAGGATGCGAAGAGGACTGCAGGTGGTGAATTGGAAAGAAAATCGTCAAAAACACAAGAAACACAAGCCCTCTTGCTCTCTGCTGTGATGAAGTCTGAGGCAGGCACGAAGATGAGATATGAGTCGTGAGAGGGTAAAGAAATCCGAGAAGGGACTGTATAACAGGTTAACACTACCTATACACTACATCGAAGACGGAAACCCCGTTCCACTAATTTTGGCTTGGAGTGGATCAGTAGTCTTGGCTACGTATTGCGCTTTTTCGATTTGGGGTAGGTGTACGCTGACTGCTGCCAATGGCTGGACCCACATCTCTATCCACGGGAGCGGACTACTCCAGTGAGGCTGAGCCCGAACCTTGCCTTCAAATGCAGAGCTTACGTTCAGAAGTCAGCCAATTAGAATTAAGGTAGAGGTGACCAGTGGTGAAGAAAAGCAAGAGGAGCTGCCAATACTATACGAAGTTATACGAGCCACGACCTCGAGCAAAGATGCTCCAGGCCATGCGCGGGAGGATGCCGCAACGCAGCTTCATGCGCGCGCAGTCAGACTGAGCGTCGACTGTGTTAGGCGCAGACCCCTGGCTGTCTGCCGCCATTCAAATATCCCGCGCAGCTGCCACGTCAGTCGACATGATGCAATCGCCCTGAGCGGTTGCCTCGTCTCGCCTCGTCTTCGCCTTCGCCTTCGGCCGCCTCAGAAGGTCAGTCCGTCTTGCTTATTACATCATGTAGCATTAGGCGGACCTCGCATCGGCCTCATATACTCACATTCGCTTTTTATAATTAGTAATATTTACTTAACTTTATTATCACATAGTAGGCCAGGGTTTCCCCCTTGTAATCATATCATAGGTATTTCTCCATAGTAGTTTAGACATTCACCGGGAGTTCAATTCATATGTATAATTATCTTAAACATGTAGTCTTCTTTAGTCAACCGTAGTTGTTTACCTAATAGTTATTTACAGGTTTATAGTATAACTCTGTTCTATTCTGTGTTGACATACATGAAGTTCAGTAAGTATTCTTCGCTTTACATCCGCAATTACGCTTACACAGCTTATCACATACACGCTTAGCGCCTAGTCGGTCAACGGTCAATTACATCTACACGCACGCATCGTCTCGCATTACTCGCCCAGCTACATCAGGGTCCAACGCACGCGTCAAGTACACGACGTACTTGCTGGGGTCAGGGAATAAGGCCCTGTGATTGAGCCCGCAGCAGGCACGGAATCTGGAGCATTCTCGCGCACGCATTCCCTTCAGAGGTGATGTGGGCACCCACTGGAATCCCACGTTTTGCCGGGTCCGGTGGACAGATCACCGATGCACGCGCTTGCACGCGCTCGACCCCGTCCACCGGCCGACAAATGTATTCTTCCTGTCCGTTGATCACCGCGTTGAATGCCACTTCTCATTCGGCTCTAGCCCTAGCGCTCGATCTCCTGCTAAACGTCAAGGAATTGCGTTGGCGGGTTAGCCAGTCCGTGGGTGTGTCGTGTCGATGGCGGCGCGATAACGGCGATGCAGTGATTGAGAGCATATTCTTCGCTGTTAAATGCATTTCAGTCCGCACCCTTAGGGCCTCCCTCAGTCGCCTGTCTTTTCACTAATGGTAAGCTGGTTTCCACTTTTTCGACTTTCGACTTTATCGTGGAATCCTATTTTGAGCAGCCAGCCAGGTAATCGATATGCATCTGCAGATTCTGGCTTCGAGCCTCAATCGACTATTTGTTGCAGTCTAAATTAGGCTTGCATAAAACCCAGGTCACAATACTTGAGGGAATTCGCGGGGGGGGGGGCAGAAGTTTACCATAGCATTCATAGTGCAATTCATCGTAGAGAACGAAGCACCAGTATAAGGATGAACCATTCTTTGACTGTGCAAAAAAAAACGACAAGAGAGTTTTGAAAAGGAAATGCATGTGGTGGTTTTGTATGACTTCAGGATTCTGCCCACGACGCCCCCCCCCCCCCCAACTATAGAGACACTTGAGGCTGAACTCCCAATGATCAGCTACTGTGAAGTCAATGAGAACGCACCGTTACAGAACATAAAGCCCATTGATCTGAAAACATTTCTTGTAAGATGCTCATGAGTTTTCTTTGCAGAATTGCATAGCTTTAAGCAGTCCAATCGGACACATGGGCCATGCTTTCAGTCGCTTTGACACATTGAGGATTAAACAAACTCCCGAGGTACTATCTTTTTTAAAAATAGCAAAAAAAAGTTTTCGTATAATGTATGCTATACGAAGTTATTACGAATTGTTGACTTTTTTCACTGATAGAAATCTTTTCAGTTTTACGGACTGAAGACTGAGCAGGCGAAGTTGCTCTCTCCAAAATTGGCATTCATCCAGGTAAGCATTGATGATGCTAAGTTAGTCAGTATTGTTCAACGGCTCCGAAACAGTACTGACGTGAAGATCACGTGTCCGAATCTCACTGGCATCCTTCTATTTTATAAAGCGCTAACTTTGTGTGTCGGTTTGTATGTCTGTATGTGTGTGTGTGTATGTATGTATGTATGTATGTATGTATGTATGTATGTATGTATGTGTGTCCGTCCGCAAAATGAAGTGAGTGAGAAGGAAGCTACGAATAACAAACCATGATTGTGAAACCCAGAACGGCTAATAACACGCACTTAGCACACTTTCGGTCATTCCACAAGGTGATGCTGTGGTAGCCGGCGAGCAGAGGAGAACGAGGGGTGAGTAAGGAGAGGAGGGAGAAGGGAAAGCTTACGCAAGGTAGGGAGGTTCCGGCGCTTGCCGGGGGACCAATCTGGTCCATCCAAAACTCACTGCAAATGCCTGTAGTTCTGAAGTTGCGACTCAAAGCGAGGCAGCTCCAGTTGACCTTAACGCTAACGAGACTAGCCCAACTATCAATGGAAATAAGTTTTCAAGTTCGATGACAGTTCTTGAACAGCCTCTTTCTGATACTCTAACCAGATCATTATGCTAATATACGCGAAGGCCGCCGCAGGTCGTGCAATGTAGTATCATCGTCAGCTGCGACCTGTAGATGCCACCTAAAGCAATTCCAAATTCGGTAAGTAAGCTCCTGTGGTTGGCAAGACGAAAGAGAAATGGATCACGCCCCGCAGCTTTCTCCCCTGCCAAATAGGGATTATTGTAGGCGGAATGAGTTATTGCATCACCTGCTCCCTTTTTAGTACAAAAACTCAAGGCCATTGACCCATCATTAAGCAATAACCCTGGTTGAGGTAATGTTGAGCAATCTATTGTGGGTAGGGTAATGTAGCCCACGAGTATCACAGATGTGCTGTTTTCGCTGCTCGAAAATGCGGGACAGTAGCGCTAATGCCTTACAAGTGAGCCAGTGTGAGCTAATGGACGAGTTATCTCGTGCACACTCCATGAGACACAACGTGGATACGGCGTAGCGGCTAATTCAAATACGCGCGGGTTAGTGGAGCCGTGGAGCAAGCAAGTTCAGAAAACTCGTCCGGACACGCCCCTTCCTCATTTCAAGGAGGAAGAGAGGAATACTTGTAAAGGGCTTCATTGGCGGTTTCCTTTGCTTCTTTTTTCATTTTCAATCAACTCGGCATCCACGACTTCATTATTGACCGCTGTTACCACACCAATTTTACCCAGCTGTTGTTACTTTGACTACCATAATGGTTAAACAGCTACTGCAAGGAAGAGCCACACCTATATCAGAAAACCGTTGAGATAATACTGATCAGAACCTCGTTCGCAATTTCAGCTCGAGATCACCATTCTGATGATGCTTGCAGCCGTCGCGATAGTGGCAATGTCCTTCGGTATTTCACTCACTCACCAGTTGTTCAGCGTTTTCGTGAAGTGAGTTTGCTTCGTTTAATATTCGCTCACGCCCGTCCAGTCGTACGACTGATTTCCCGTGGATCGAATTCCATTAATTGTAAGGCCATTTGAACTTCTCGGCTTTTCGATCTTGTCTAATTGGCATCATGCAATGCCATTATTCCATCCGATGTTCAAGTCAAGCGGTGAGTCGATGAACTGGAATGAAGTAG